AAAAGTTACAGTAATTATATAAAATATAGTATTTCGGAAGAAATTCTCTATCAAGATTCGAAAAGACGAAATTATACTGCTGCTTACTCAGTTTTTGTTTTTTGACGTACCTAATTTTGCCAAGAAACTTATTACACGTCTGCTGTATTCGGGTCCAATATTGAAGGCTTAATTTCTACGTTTGAAACTATTATATTTCACAGTAAATGACTACAACAACATTTCATGTGGATCGTGTTTTACGAAAGAAGTATTGATATATTTCTTAAATAAATTAGAAGAAACTCTTGTTTCATTACACAAAATGCAACTTGATTTCGGAGAACATAAATATAAATTGAAGAGTGATTTTCACGTCAAACTAAAGAAAACAGTAGTAAAGTTCCAATAAAAAATACTTTGAGCAATACATTGTGGTATGCATAATGAGTATTTAAAATCATTACTCAAATTTTATATGTATCACGATGAGATGTTACACAGAACGATCACAAACTTTAATAATTCCACTGAAAAACATAATTTCTTGCAAAATTCTTTGTTCCAAGAGGCAATTCAAGTGTAAATTGGTGAGATCATTAGCAACTCATGCCACAGCTAAATCGGGACAGGAACAATTAAGTATAAAGTTAATTCAAAAGATAATTGCGACGAAACATGGCGCACGACCAGTTGTGCTTTTCACGCTTTGGTGGAAGGTTCTACTTCATAAAGCACGAGTAGAAACGTGTAGAGTTTTAAGTTTCTTATAAGACACGCTTCACCCCGTACAGCTTCAAACCATAGATAAGTTACAGCTCCATCTTAGCTATCTCATAACGAATTCCTTACCACGTCTTTCCGATCCATCCGAAGCTAATCCTTTTACAGAAGTGGTGCGGCATTGGAATTGCAATATTGGTGTGCAGAATTCTGATACAAGATGAAAAGAGGCACAGTAATTCCTTTATTCTTTTAATACTCATTCTACGTATGGTATTCTCAAATTGGCTTGATTTTCCTCGGAGTAGCCTGTAAGATAACAGGAGAATTCGACAGATACTGTAACACGAAGCATTACCTGAATTTTCTCTATCTGAGACTGAGTATGAAATAGACTGGACACACATTGTTACATAATCACAATCATTATTTACAACACAATCGACAACAAGTGTAAATGATCTTCATTAGAAAGAGAGATGAAGTCTAAGTTTTCAATAATAAATAAGCTTTATCTAAATTAATCTATCCTTTAAATTAGAATCTATCTGACTCTACAGTATTCTGATTATAACTGAGAGAAGCTGCCACAAATAAAACAAAGGCCAAGCTGCTCAGGATTTCACATCACCAACGTGGTTCAAGATCGCTTGATTAAGCGAAATGACAGGCTATACCCTTTGGGTATCATCCGACTCGCCAGCTGAAAAGACTATTATCTGTTTTGGTACATCACAACTAAAGTTACATCCTGCATATCACACTTCTCCTCTTCCCTTTGTTTCCGGGCAAACCTAACATTAAAAACTTAAACCAAATTAGAACTTAACTCGTGCATGTGTCAAAAAATCGGAATAACTCATCGTCACCCTTGTAAAAAACTACAGCATTATTAGAAAATGTTAAAAAATACTTATGAAATTGTGTTTTTGCAGGCCTATTTCAATCTGCAAACAAAATAAAACATTCGGTTCACCAGGTTTACATGTTATTTTTTATTAAGTTCACACATATAATTTCATCTATTCACAAACAATTCAATTCCATCCATTTCAAAAGTTCTTAGCTACTACTAACAAAGTAACAGGTCAAACTGTTTTCTGGCTAATGTAGCTTATCTTTTCTAGGAGGCCTTGTTAGGACGCTCGACTCGCAATATGCGGGCCGCGGGTTCGAATCCCCATCCCACAAAACAAACGTGGGGGCGTTATAAGTGACGATCAATCCCATTATTTGTTGGTAAAAGAATTGGCGGTGGGTGGTGATGACTAACTGCTATCTCTCTAGTCTTTCACTGCTAAATTAGAGACGGCTAGCCCAGATAGCCCTCCTGTAGCATTGCGCGAACTTCCAAACAAACCAAACCTTTTCTATGAAAATACACTTTTTGTCAAACATTTAGTGTAGAAACTGAAATATTCTCTCTTTTCACATTAATGAAAATAAATAACAAGCTTCCTGTATCTTCAAATAATGCTTCACACGCCAAAAGTCACTGTTAACTTCATACTTTAATTATTTTATATATATTATGATACTTTTATAAAATACATGTATGCAACACCACACACTTGTACTCATTAGTACGTGTATATTGTAATATACATATATTTCTACAGCATATATCATCACACATATTAGTAGATGTGGACACGACAGAAGGCCTTTTGCGTCGTACACCATTACTCTGGTGACCATTTCGGGCTATTCTCTGAACCAAGTATCGATAGTTATGGTGCTGTGGCATGCCATTGTCTGTGAGCAATGAAACTCAATACGTTTTATAACCAAAATTCCCCTAGCCAGGATTAACATTTGCGCTGTTGTTACCTTATACATCAGTTATAGTCTCATATCAATTTAGGCTAAACACAACAATCCACAGCAAAGTATGTTTACTATCTTAGTTGCCAACACCAACACCCAAACAAATAAGCTATCGTATCACCACAGACGAGTCAATTCACTCATTAAAGTGTAACAGAAAAATAAGCACAAGCAAATCCAGAAAAATGGGAACTATTCCATTCAAATTTACTACAACTTAATTAACATTCTGTGCTGACTGAGAACACAAGTTCCACCAGCTATAATAGAGAACTTATACATTTTCAAATGTACTGACGAATTCTATGGATGGTTCTGGATGATGAGCATTCTTCAGTAAATATTAGAAGACTGCATTGGAGAAAGGTTTGGAAAGTAAAAGTTGTATCTCCTTTCAGTTCAGCTTTTAAATATCTAACCAGTATCTCTAGTTGTGCAAACTGATAATGTTTTAGGTATTATATCTACTGACATCAGCCATCATAACTGGGTAGTAATTGAACAGCTCTCAAAAAATATGCAGCAGATATCACGTGTGAAAGCTGTCTCGATAGTTAAGAAAGTAAGGGTCACTAAGCCCTTTTGGTACAGTCAGTCTTACGACTAATGACCATCATAACTTAATTACAATTGAATAGTATTCACAAAACGTATTCTATACATTTTATTGGGCAGTATCACTCAATAGCTCGGGAAGAAAAGATTGCAAAGTCCTTTCAGTCATTGGTTTCCTGACCAAATGACCACCCTAGCTTGTTGTTTAACGCAATCTAGTGATCGGGAGATCATCATCTGCGATTCAGCCAAGTACTGAAGCTATGATGCTGCTCTTCCTCATCCACACATTTGATTGAATTGAGCACTAAACCATGGAGATTTGGCATAAAACATAGCATGAAATGTTTAAGGAAGTGGCCCAGACCTTCCTTGATTGTGCCCTTAAATCGTGTGGGGGGGAGTCTGTTTGGTCTCACTCATGGGACTCTTGAGGATGACATAAGCCCTTATTCCATGGGCTTTTGGTCAACACATGGCTGAGACATCCTTAACATTGAGTGTACAGTGTAGTGGCTAGTAAAGAAACCCCTACACAAGAACGAGTGTTACATTCTTTTCATAGGGTTACAGAAGAGTGAGTTACAAGGGATACTTTGTCCACTGGTTTTACATGACATCAGGTCCCTCAGTGATCCATGGTTACCCTGGTAGTATACCTCCCAGTTCAGAGAGGTGAATTCATTTACCAACTACATCTCCATTTCTTCTCTTTCAATTACCAATACTATGGACCAGAGCTGGGGCTGCTTTATTCTGTCTGACGAGTGCCTGGGAATCGTTTAAGGCTAAACCTCAAGAGAAGAATATCATAGGTTTTTAGGTGCTCTAGGCGATGCCAGTTCTCCTTCCTGGATCTGAAGCATTAGCAATTGTCTAACAGAGAACTCTTAGACTTAACAATTCTCTTTGACAGCCACTGCTCTTAATGACCTAATTCTTCTCCTTGTTCTACTTAAGAAAAATGTCATTTTCTCGTCTTAGAATCCTTAACTTGATAACCCAAGAGACCGAAAGAGTGCAGATAAATACATCCATCGAGAGAAAAGCAGTATCTCATGGTTATGGCACCAAACTTTTTTCTTTCCTACCTACTTTGAGATATTATCAGTTTGCCTTGATTTCCCTCAGAGTAGCCTGCAGGATCTGCAAGATATAGACTATCAAAACAAATGCTAGACTGCTCAAGACTTTTACATCACACAAGTAACTCAAGGTCACTCTCAATTCAGTAAATGGTAGGCTTGCCCATGAGGCATCACCCAACTCACTGAGAGAAAAGACTTCTGTCTTTTTGGTACATCACAAGTTACAGCTATATTTCCTGTGTGAAAGTATTTTTGATGGCTCCCTGGAGTGACCTCATTCTGTGCTTAACCTTCTGGAGATGGGTAAGTCAAAGTGCAAATGTCAACTTTTCTACAGAATTACATTTGAAATGTAGATAATCTACTGTATTATAAATGTATATCAATAAACTTGGCATCAAAACATAGTTAATAAAGCAAGTTTCGATATCATATAAATTGTGATTTCTTATTTTCAAAATGTTTAAATAAATTCTCAATATTCACTTCTCTGTATAACGAATTTTGTTTGTTACGAATTGTCCGTTTTATATATTCTTTCGACCCTTATATAATGTCCTGAGTTTAACATGAATTACACACTTACAGTATGGATGTTATTAAGACATAATCCAAATTTATAGACTACATTCCAACAATCTTCTTTATGGAGATATAACCCACATGCCACGCCCGCCTATCACATCACGTCTTTCAAAAATGTCAATAATTCTCTGAAATTTGCTATTGGATCATTTAATACCAATAGAAAAACAATATTTTGATTTACTGATTTCCTGAAAAAGCTAGATCGTTATCACAATAGATTTTGAATTATTCGGCCCATAGATTCATTGACGCTGTCGCCGAGGTCACCTCAACCAGGTAAGGGAAACATTTTAATCCATTTATAGCTTAGTTGTAAATACATCTAAATTATAATATTTTTAAGCCATTGTTGTTTATTATGTTAATAGTATGCATTAATAGTTGAAATAAATAAATAATTATTTTATGTACTACTACCATACATACATAAAAGAAGAATTAAGTTTCATTGATACCCGAGTACAAGAGTACATAAGTACAAGATTTCATGTTTTAGTGTGTGTGTTTTATTTATTATTATAAAAGTAATTAAAATGTAAAAATTAGAAACTTATTATGTTAGATAAGAAAACATAAATAAAAATAAAATAAAATAAATTTATCGGCAAGATATGCACATAAGCTACTCATGTTTTACGTAATTCAATACTTTGTTTACCGTACTTGAGCTATTGGGTCGCCGGGTGATTTATAGCTTTGTTACGCAGATAAATAGTTAAATAGGCTTCAGAGAGCACTAAAACAATAACATTAAATGAAAACGGGCGTAAATTATTACGAGCTGAGGTAATTTTGGATAAATAATATTGTAATTTTCTGTTACAATCTGCAGTTATTCCAGGAAGAAAAAAGGGTAATTTAGATTTTTGTTGTTGTTACAAGGTTGGTCAAATAGACCAAACCTATATAGTGTTATATGGCGAGAAGCTTGCTTTTTCCATTTACCGATTTTCTATATGGGAAGCTAAACATACTCATTATGCACAGACAAAATAATAATAATAATAAGGGTTAGAAAACGCACGATATGTCTTCATATCACAGATCATAAGGTAAAGTTTGAACTACGTTTTATTTAGTCTGGGCTGGATTCTGAAATATCAATTTTATCATCTACTGGTAACTGTGTGTTAGACTAAGTCGAAGTAAATGATCAGGACTTGAATTATTTTAATATTAATAAAAATTATTATATTATATTAAATTGTCTTATCTCAAATAAGACATCACGTCATTACCATTAGTTGCGTAACTCGTATCTCTGGGATAATATAATAAAGCTAACTGAATTTAGAAACATTATATTTACTGGACGAAAACATGTTTCTTATAAATATTACAGAATATGATTAATAAATCGTCTCTCTCAGAGTTTATTAGTACGAGATGTTCAATCTAATTCATTATGTATTATTTCTCGTGCCTAGCTTCAAAATAATATGTCTGTAATAGTTGTATATGTTATCAATGTGAAATATAAAACATAATTGTAAACACTGTTTTGCGTTAACTTTTTTAGACTTACAGAATAAGTTTTTTGTTTTGAGAGAGAGAGAGAGATTGTACGTTCTTTATAGTAATATATACTGTAGGCTGTAACTGGGCAACAACAACATTTGGTTATATATATTTCTTGCATTTTCCAGATACTCTAGCGTTGACTGTAGTTGGAAAATCATCATTTTGTTAAGTACAAACAAACGAAAAACGTATTACTTGATATAATTCTTTATTACTAATTAGACAGTAATAAGGAATAAAAATTTCGTTGGGTGATATAAAATTGTTGTTTTTTGTATCCTTGAATAAAACTATGTTAATAAGTGTAAATATCTCACACGTACGGATGACTTCTTTCTTGCACGTGAATGAACAATTGAACAAAGTTTGTGTGTGTGTTCCGTTCTGTTTTTCCTGCAGTGAGGAGATAAAATTTTACCCGCCGAAAACGCACGCGAAACTTATAATAAAGACAGCACGAGTGGCAACCCAATATTACTAACATTTAAAAATCTGTTATTTACAGAAAGCTACAAAATGGATCATAATTAAAAAGTTAAAAATAGTTATTATAACAAATTCGTTGCTTTTATTTGTTGTTTGTTGAGGAGATATAAAGTTAAAGCTGTCAGAATTTATGTCTATTGTTAATTAGTGTACAAGAACGCATTAAAAATCACTTCTGTTACTACTATGTAAATAAGTGAAAATTTTAAGAACTATTTCAAATAACGAAAAGGATTTAGAAGGCGCTAACCTAAGAGTTGTGTGTATAATATACTGTAACCAACTCAAGCATGTAAACGTAATACATATATAAAATCACTAACAGCCAGACAACTATAATAATGTATTTTTCTAGGTAATTTCAAAAGCAATATATAATACCGTTCTACAATTTATTAAAATGAAGCTCTAGACTGATAAGTATTCGTTTCAAGGGACATGACCTGGTGGTAGCGTGCGGAGCTGCGTATCAGAAAATCCAAGGGTTTGATATGCTACTGGTAATGCTCTGCTTTTGCAACTGAAGGGGCATCATGGCCGTTGACAGTCAATCCCACTGATCGGGTGCTGCAGACAAGTTGCTCTCCTTCAAGTTAGCAGTTTTAAGGTTTAACGAGGCAAGGTATTTCGTTGTTGTTGTTTTTTTTTTTGTTGTTGTTGTTGTTGTTTTTCCCCCCCGGAGCTTCTGTAACAAATTGAAACACTTTTTTATTCTTTATTCGCAGTTTCTATTTCAGTTCTACATGGAAGTATATTTCATTTTTTATCACTTCTAGAAACTTCCCTAATTTTATTCATAATTTTTAGACAGTACCTTAACAACACTTCAAGTTATTATATATTTTTAGCGATAAAAGTTCAGATTTTCTTTCCAACGTATGGTGATTTAGAAATATGTGAATTATATCTAATTAAATATTCTTTAAAAGACTTCTTACACGTGCCTAATTAGCCGTCAGCGTCAGAGATATATAAGTGCATTGATTTCTATATTTTTATTATATTGAAGCGTATTTTACCATTTTCGAGGCCTCGGGCTCTCATAAGTTTCACTACCTTACCATCAAACAGCTTTGTGCTGACACTTTTCTAAAAACGCCGCCATTCAACATAATTCTTGATACAGAGAGCAAATAGAAGTTTTTTCCATCTCTCTTTATATTATTAATATTGTGTGCCTAAAGCCATACTCGGTGTTAGTAGGCACTCTGAAGTGCTTGACATCACGTCTTGCATGGTATTGAAAGCGCACACTATACGGAATGATAGGATTCGTTCGTAGGATAAGAAAGAGAATTGTAATGTGTGAACATTCTCGACACGTCTATTTTGAATTAGAGAGAAATCAAACTGGTAGTGTGAAATATTAGAATAGTAACTAGCCTGAAGTTCTTCTCAACTTTGGAATCTTGATTAGATTTCCTCTAAGACGTTCCATTTCTATTTTTTCTGACATATATTAGCCCCCCAATTTTTAGTTAAACATAGTCTTACTTTCTGATTAGTCTATTATCAAAAAGAACACCTAGCACGTCCTTACTTTTAATATTCTTCAGTCTCCAGTAATAAAATGAAATGACGAGTGATACTGGATGTGTCTTGGAATGCAAGTATCGTTTCTGTTTTTAAGAAACGTCAGTGTGGATAACGGAAAATATAATTTTTAATCTTCATCCTTTAGCGAAGGAAATGAAACTTGTGAACATTAGTATATTGTGCTATATAGTGGCTTGTAAAGGACATGAAAAAACTTTTAGAATGTAACTGCTGCTGTTGGAGTAAGAATTTTATAATGATACACGTGACTAACAAAAAATAATATACATTGTTATTCTGACAGAACATACTAACTCGTGACTAAAAGAAATATAAACGTTGTTCTTTTAACAGTATATACTGACATACAATGTGAGATAGCGAATTCTACTTTTATTTTGTTTACTGTTCATCCATTATTCCTTCTATCGTTTAATTCAACTATGAATTTTTAACTTATATTAAAGTACTTAATCACCTTCTAGCTAAAGCGCCCCCCAGTGGCACAGCGGTATGTCTGCGGACTTACAACGCTAGAAACCGGGTTTCGATACCCGTGGTGGGCAGAGCACAGATAGCCCATTGTGTAGCTTTGTGCATAAATTCAAAACAAAACAATCTAGTTAAAGCACGTTGAATTTAAGTATGTGTGTATTGTAAAACTGGCACAAGCTCCCCCTAGTGGTGACATACATATATTAATGTTGTGGAAGATTATGTAAATTAGCTTGTCACATGATATGTAACATCGTCATCCAACTATAATAGAAACCCTGCCTTAAGCTTAAACAAGTTAGTTCACGAGATTAGTTAAAATAAATTATTGTTGATTGTTGCTCGATGTTGTTATTGATCTTGAAGTTGTTGAAATTCGAAATATTGTGATTGTTTGGAGTTAAGTTTTTTTCTTCTTCTGGCTCTTTTTCCTGATTCCTTTAGTATATTGAAATGATTATTAACATTGATATATATGTTGTATTGTTCATTAACGTTAGTATCAAGTCTTGGCCAGACACGTGTTTAATAACTGTGTTTTTTGTTAAGCTATAAACTTTATATTCCAATTGTTTGACAGTTTTATTTTGGATTTCTGTGGTTCTCAAAGTTTAATAAATTCGTTGTTTTTGTTTGTTCGACCCTGGTTGTAACGGCTGTTTGTTTTAATCCGTTACAACATGACTAAATATAAATAATATAAATCGTTCTTCTGACACTATATACTAATACACACACATGACTAACAAAAAATAATAAACAGTTATCCTGACATTATACAATGATGTACGTGACTAATAGAAACAAGACACAACGTTCTTTTGACAGTATTTACTGACATACGTGACCAATAAAAAATAAGATACAACGTTCTTCTGTTAACAGAACATTGTGTCTTGTTTCATATTAGTCACATATGTGACTTAAAATGTAAAGTACTGTGTTCTTCTGATAGTATTATACTGATGTATGTGACTGAAAGACAACGTTCTTTTTATCGATCTTAAGTTCTGAAAGTTATTAAGTCTCTTTGTTTTAGAATTTTGATGTATAAGTTTATGAAGAAATGTACAAGAGAGAAAATTTTCAGTGACTTTATTTCAAAATTTAAATAAACTTATATGTAAATGAAATGAAGATTAACAAAAACATAATATATTGTATTAACAACAAAAATACTCTTTAACACTTTCATTTTTTCTCTAGCATTTAAACATGTTGTAGGTTTTGAACTAGGATGTATATTTATAAACCCCACGTTACACACTCTTTTGTATGGTTGAATCCTATATTAATTTACCCGCTATAGAAGTTCGCGAACAAACTCCTGTAGTTTTGGAGACAGAAGAGCCAAACTTGGCAGGCAGACTCGGGAAAGCATACGAGACGTTCTTATTCATATGGCCTTACCCTCCCTAAGAAGGGGGGTGGTTAAAATGCGCCCGGAAGGTCACACAGGCATGATGGGATATAGGAGAAGGTTTTCAAGATTACCGAACCTTAATCTGGCATCATATTTTATGTTCCTTGTCCCTCTCTGTATTCCAGGGGCGCCATGTTTGAAACTGTGTATCTCGGGCGGGTGTCTTTACGGGGTTTGTTTTCGGGTACGAACCTCCTTGGCATAACTATAGAAATAATTGGGGATAATGAAGGAACAGATTGGTATATTGGGTTATTTTATAGTAGTTCTAAAAAATCTGTCGATATTCTTAATATTTCCTATGTGAATATTATATAACGTACTGCCGTCTGTTTATGTACACCGCCGTAGTGTTATATAACGTACTGTTAACTGTTTATGTATACCGCTGTGGTGTATATAACGTACTGTCGTCTGTTATGTATACCGCTTTGGTATATATATAACGTAATATCTGTTTATGTATACGACTGTGGTGTATATTACGTACTATCGTCTTTTTGTGTATACCGTTGTGATGTTATGTAACGTACTATCGTCTGTTTATGTATACTGCTGTGGTATTATATAACGTACTGTTATCTGTTCATGTATACTGCTGTGGTGTTATATAACGTATTGTCGTCTGTTTATGTATACCGCTGTGGTGTATATAACGTACTGTCGTCTGTTATGTATACCGCTTTGGTATATATATATAACGTAATATCTGTTTATGTATACGACTGTGGTGTATATTACGTACTATCGTCTTTTTGTGTATACCGCTGAGGTATTATATAACATACTGTCGTCTGTTTATCTATACCGCTGTGGTGTTACATAACGTATTGTCGTGTGTTTATGTATATCGCTTTGGTGTATATAACGTACTGTCATCTGTTTATGTATACTATCGTGGTGTTATGTAACGTACTATCGTCTGTTTATGTATATTGCTGTGGTATTATATAACTTACTGTTATCTGTTTATGTATACCGCTGAGGTATTATATAACATACTGTCGTCTGTTTGTGTATACTGCTGTGGTGTTACATAACATATTGTCGTGTGTTTATGTATATCGCTTTGGTGTATATAACGTACTGTCGTCTGTTTATGTATACCATTGTGATGTTATGTAACGTACTATCGTTTGTTTATGTATACTGCTGTGGTATTATATAACGTACTGTCGTCTGTTATGTATACCGTTTTAGTGTATATAACGTACTGTCGTCTGTTTATGTATACCGTTTTAGTGTATATAACGTACTGTCGTCTGTTTATACATATATCTCTATGATGTATATAAAGCGATGAGGATTGGCGTCATTTCTACTGTCAAATTGGCTATCCACTCAACTCGTTCTAATCCGGTGAGGAAAATGTTAAGAAGGTACGACTGCTGGAGACAAAATACCAGTACTAGTAGGCTCGATCCGAGACTGCTTTGCCTGCTTTAATTATAGATAAGAACTTCTTAATGATAGTAAAGAAGAGATTATAGTAATATGTCAACACATATCTGCTATATCCAGTGCTATATTCAGTCCTTTTGCTGAATATCAGCGCCTTTCAGGCCGGCGAGGATACTAAAGATATAGTAACGATCGACATGCTATTTGTATTAGTAATTTTCTTGAACGTAACTGTTTCGGTGTGATTTGAATGTATAAGTTTGTGATTCTATGAAGTTAAGAGTGAAAGTAAAGAAGAATGTATAACAATATTTAGGCTGAACCGAAATCGGTACTGAAAATTAATTTTAACTGGCTGATGGAAGTCGAACGATCCTGGATTCCTCGTAAATCCACGAACTACAATAGTTGACGGTAAACAAATGAATTATTTGCTGTATCGGATTTTTAGGTCCGATTTTGTCGGACCTGTTAGAGTCCGGTACACCTTCGACCTCTTCCTCCCCCCCCCCCTCCAACAATAGATTTTTGCACTCTTATTGTTATTGCTCTATCAGATGTTTCAGAGTTCATGTTGAATTTGTTTTCTTTCTAATATGATTTTTGTTACTTTTTATTGTTTAAAACTTCTGCTTCTTGATGGTATACTTTGGTCGAGTTTACACTACAAGTTGTCTCGCACTTGTGATGTTGTGTCCAGGTTGATGAGGTTTTATTTAATCCACATAGAATTTTTCCGGTGATACTTTCCACACTCATACAACGTT